AAAAATTATATAAATTTAATCAACAAATAAATTAGTTAAATAATTTTTAACAATTGATTTATCATTTAATTAAGCAATCTATCAACCAATCAATCCATCAATTAATTAATTAATCAAATAATTAATCAACGAGCTGGTGTCCATGATCTCTCCGACGAGTTGAAGTTCTCAAATCTACCACTATACAACATGAAGATATTTAATAATAATAATGCTTTAGGTAATTAATGGAACCCCCCGCCAAAAAAAAAAAAAACAGATGTGAAAGGATGTACACATTGGTATTATGTGCTTTGGTTTATTGTCCCTGTCTTCTTCGTAAAAATACATTTCAGCTCTCCATTCGAAAACCACATGACCTAGTGTGCACATTCTGGCTCTCTACTCTACGCGGGGCCACAATTGAGTCGATATGACGTCATATACAAAAGACACTTTGAGTTTGAGCATTTTTTTTTAAAGGAGGGCCGGTCATTTTCTTTTCTGTATTCCTTCTTCTGTTTGTTCCTTCTGTTCCCCGTCTCTGTTTCTCTTACCATCGTGTTAAATTCCATACATATGTGAGGCAGCGTGGTGGAATCAGGCTCTCGTCAATTTTGGGGCATGTAGAGTTATTGGTATCATCTTAGAGCTTGTTCACTTGTCTTTATTTGGATGAAAAAAATGTCCATTTATCTTGAATACAAGTCGAGATATTTGCGAAAGAAGGAGGTTGGGTCTCCTGTTTTCAGAGGTGAAATGAGTGAGAAAATGGCCACCAAAGATTAGTTATTTCCTTAGTTTAAAAGTCCAGGGTAACTGAAAGTTTACATTATTTGTGCCTTTATTTAACGTTTTTCCAAAAAAATCCACTCCGAAATGAGTTCTTTAATGGGCATGAAAGGTGTTGGGCCAAAAACCTTAAATTTGATAAAAACTCACAAACCTGCGGAAAAATGCGCGTTTCTTCACTTTGATTATTTTGACGAGAACCTGATTCCACCACGCTCCCATACAGATACTTTTTTAAATGCATTAAAAGGGAAACACTAAAATCCCACAAAAGCATTATTTCTAACCTATCGTTTACAACTCATTGGCAAATAGCACTACAGTGCGGTAAAAAAAAAATCATGGCGCAACTTATTGTTAAAATTAATTTCCTAACCTATTGAACATAGACTCTTCAGCTTTTGCACAATTACTTGTATCAATTAGCCTTAACACAACAGGTCAATATTTTCGTAAACACCTGTTATTGTATTCTAAAAAATTCCTTGATAAATACTAATTAAAAATCCAAGTTTGTGGTTTTCACAGTCTTTAAAAGGTTTCCAGCTGGGGCAACATCGCTTTTGCAGGAAGTCCGTATTTTTTTCTAATCGTTACACTATCTTTATAGAACGCATGTTTTGAGAACCTTTAGTGCACACACCAAAAAAAGTGTTCACTGTAAAATCAATTTCTAGTAATAAGTTTTGCCGACTTAAATGTGTCATTGATGAGCTCTGACGTAGGCCATACACGTATGCAAAATGTGTGTGAGAAGTGGGAAGCGGCGTGAATAATCTATTTCATGCATTACGGACATTTATATGAGGAATTTTTTAAAAAATGTAGTCACAACTGTTAGGGGAAAAGGTGATTAAATTGAGACAAATTGATACCTACTGTCGTGCAAAGTATGGGGGATATTGATTCACCAGTTAAAGAGATGCTTGGGGATAGGTTGTCTCACGATTCTTTTTTTACCGTACTATAGATATTATAGTCCCTCCTTCCTCTTCCGGGTAGTTAACTTTTGCCTATGTTCCTTCCGTTTTCCTTCTCCTTTGCTCTTATCATTGTGCTAAATCCCATACAGATACTTTCTAAACGCATTATTATTACACGTAAGGGCATTAAAATCCCACTGAAGCATTATTTTTAACCCGTCGTCTACTATTTACTGGCAAATGATACTGGATGTACTTCCTCCATCGGTAAATAAAACTAGATGCAATTCCTCCTTCCTCATCCGGGCAAGACCACTTCCTTCGTTCTTTTCTTCCATCCATTCATGTATCCCTTCCACTAGCTATCAGCTCTTCCATTTATCAAAACCTTGTGCCCATTCATTTCCCACGACCCGAGCCTGACTGTATCAGAACATTGTCCGGACGTAGCCTCTATAAGACCTACGTCAACACAGAAATAGATACGTCACGATTTCCTGAGCTCTAAGAATCACGAGTCAGTCTTCACACTCTGGGGATACTATCTAGAGGATTAAACTCCCCCGTGGGCAGAGGAGGGGACAAACAAAAAGATCTCTATCGATCCATTGTTCCATAAGTTCCCTTTTCTCATGCAACAAACTTCTATAAATTAATTGTAAATACAAAGAGCATTCATTTATACTTTCCTAAATGACAAAGCGTCAAACGAAGTGCCGTTCTAGAGTATGGATCCTTTCCATGTATAATTTCGTAAGTCCCTTTTTCTCTCGCCGTAAATAGATAGAAACCAATTGTGTGTCTACCAAGGTGCGGTGAGCGATGCATTTCTCCCTCTTTGTTAGACAACGCCCCTAATAAATGGCCACCAGAAGGCTCAAGATTGAAGAGATGCATCATGCACGGACTCCAAGACGTGGGAAAGACCACGGAGACAGGTCAGTCACGCCTCGGATGTCCGCCCTCCGGCTTGCGTCCACTTTATTGGCTAGCCACGACCGCTCCAACTTGGCACAAGAGCTCAGAAGCGCGGACGGGCAGGGCAAGCAAGCCACCAAGCGGCGGGAGAGACGAGAACAGTAGTAGAAGGAGACCGTCACAGGAACGCAGACACGCACACACACACGCACGCCAGTGTCTCTCTCTCTCTCTCTCTCTCTCTGTCTGGAAGGAAGGAAGGAACCAGCTCTTGGGCCTGTCATTGCAACCCAGAAACATCTTTACGGAGACCCGTGAGCAAGGATCTTTCCTGAACGCCCGCCACTGCTAAGTTGTGCCCATTTTTGAGAAAACCATCCAAGTACGTGAGCATAAAGTAATAATGTTATGTGTTATTTAGTTTTATTTGTTTTCTCCTTTTTGTTTATCTTTGTTTGTTTTACGGGGAAAGGGGGGGGGGCGACCTTCCCTTTAATTTTCTTGGGCCTTTCACGACTAAGCTGTGCCCTGTCCATTTTGTGAATGCCATTTAGTACATGAGCATAAATTTATATATATGCGTTGTTTTGTCAAATTTGTTTACTTATTTTTGCATGCACATCCTGCTTGCTTCACGTTTTTCTTTTTCAACCTTCCTCTTTATTTTTCTGGATCCCACTCCCCCCACCCCCACCCCCAATGTTAATTAATGCCCATTTCGATAAAGCCTGCCAAGTACGTGAGCACAAGAGACTATTTATTTTATGTTCTTTTGTTTAATATGTGTCTTCTTTTTTAATTGCACCTTTGTTTTACGTTTTCAATTTTTTTAACCTTTCTCTTTATTTCCAATCCAGCTTACGTTTATAAGTTTAAACTTAATGGCATAATGTAAGCGATAGGACTTTGATATGAAGGCTAATTTGACTTGCGTTTAATTTTCCTTCAGTATCAAAATACACATTTCTGGCAGTGAAGACCTAGGATGAAAAGTCGTATTTTTCTCCTCTCTGGGATTCTGTCTGGTAATGAAAAAAATATAATAAATAAATATAAAAAACAGTCAAACATACAGCAACATTAATTTTTTTTAAATGTTAAACCACAGTCAATGATTTGTATTTATCTAAAAAAAAAAAACCATTTTTGATGAAAAAGAACTAAGCCTCTAAAGTGAAGTTACTTCTTGATTACTTGGGTTTTCCTTTCATATTTTTGTGTCTGGAACAAGATTTTCAAAATTTGGACATACGAAACACACTTTCGTTCTCAGCATTTCAATGCTATATTTGGTCACAGTAGAGGAAGACATTAAAGAAAGAGTTGAGAGTTGTGTGTAATATTCTTTATTAAGGTGAAAGTCGCACTTTTAGATAAAGATCTTTTTCTTAAGTTCCCGATCATAGTGCATTTGAATTAGATTAGGGGCAATTACTTTTATAATCATTGCAGGTATTATTCTAAAAAGCATCATCATCATCATCATCATCATCATCATCATCATCATCATCATCATCATCATCATCATCATCATCGTTATCATCATCATCATTTGCCCACTGCTTTGTATTTCTCTCTCTCTCTCTCTCTCTCTCTCTCTCTCTCTCTCTCTCGCTTTCTCTCTCTCCGATAGTTTAAAATCACATTTCTTTAAGGGCTTCTCCATTTCACTCACAAAAATCAACCTCAACGTAAAGCTTTTCTTTTTCCTTAGAGAGATAAAGACTCAGCCAATTATAATTGCTGAACTGCCACCTAGGGCTCTCACGTGAATAATGAAGAATAAAGTTTAATCGAAAATGAAAAAAAAGAACACCAGAAACTGCGACACAGGAGCAAAATAATTATTGATAAAATTATGCTTTCGAGCTTTAGCTAGTATTTCTTTTGAACTTTTCTCTTCTAAAGTCAGGCGATTTTTTAAAGAAGTACCGTCGTGCATAAATGGGCGTGTCTTTGTTGTCCCCGGAACACAAGTCAAGACAAGCACAGGAATTGATGATAGGATTTCTTCTCGTGGGATTTGTTTTCTGCAGGCATTTTTTTTAAAACCAAAAAGCTGAGAATCCGATTTCGGTCTCTGTCTCGTGAGACAATGAATCGGTAGCTGAGATCCTTGGCCGTTTTTTCATCTCTTCACCATAAAGCAAATGGGAAGTGATCATTTTCTAAATAAGGAATGTTTGAATTATAGTGGCGTGCCTCTAACGGATGTAACGCCGTATGCCCCCGTAGAGACTTGAAATGTTGGTTTGGAATGAGCAGACCAACCAACAGAGTCAATGTGAAGTTTAATTAGCTTTCAAAATGATGCTTGACTAAAAGTAAGTACTTAACCTATTATGATAACGAATAATAATATCAACGTAATGCTATTTTTTTTCTATAACAAGGGTCCCAGTCTCCAATTACCCTGGCGGGGGGGGGGGGGGGGGGGGGGCGGTGTACTGGCTAGTAGAATCAATGTGTGCCCTTGTGGAATCAAGTATTCAACAAAAATAAACGATTCCAGTGTTTCAGAAGGAAATTATTACTGGTCAAATATTCTCAGTCTGTATGAATAGCAGTCTAGAACAGAACGGTTTTTAAGAGCATAACTTGTCAACGTTTTATGAAGCAAGAAAAGAATATCATAATATAAATACAGAAAGCCAACACGCTAAAAACTAGACCACTGGATCCCAACAAAGTCGACAACCTTTTAAGCATCGAAGTTACACTTAAGTTATAGGGAAGGTTCCTGTGTGGGACAATCATGCACAAGCTGATACTAAATTATGTTTTCTCTTTAAAATTGTATATTATGCTTTATCAAAAAGGTTGTACATTATTTGCAATTGTTAAATCAGCAGGGTTTTTTCTACTTTATTGATTAACAGAAGATCCGTCTGAATGTATTGATAAGGGCTTTGAATTTGTGTCGTTTTTACAGTTCTATGACAGCTTCTGTCAAACAGTTTGTCTTTACTTCTGCTAAGTTATGAGGAATGTGAAAAAAGAGACTCTTAATTCAGCTGGTATGACACACCTTTGAATGCTGTTAAAAGGTACTAAATCATTTCGAAATATCTATTTCAACGTCATCAGATTAGTCCAAAAAAAAAAGCAGGAGGTCGCTTTCTCAGAAGGAAAAGTTATATCTGCTAAGTACCTTGTTTTGATAAATTTGACGTAAAAAACATTGTTTCACATGTCAAGCTTTTTTAATGCAATTCTTTCAATATGTTGAGAACGACTCAGAATAAGCTTACAATTTTGATAGAGAAAATACAGAACTAAATTGATTTCTGGTCTCAATGTCTTAGTATCTCAAAACGGACAAATAAATGTCAGATAGTACTTTGTAATTCTGAGATAGATCTAGCGATGTGTTTTGTTTTTTTTGTGTGTTTTTTTTGTATCAAGATTTCATTATCAAACAATTCGTCTCCTTTGTAGTGGATAAGCGCTTTGTCGTCGCACGTAGAAGAAATGAGTACAGTTTTGTGGGTGGTTGGCGGGTGGTCTAGTGTGACTTACTCCTTCTTTCCAATCAGACATCCATCTTCCTGATCTCTCCTTCTTCGGCATATTTATGGTGATGTGATCATGCCTTCACAGTATCCGCTAACAAAAGGTGTTCGAATCTCTCTGGGAAAAGTCTTTCCACCTTTATGTTTGAATGTAGTCCGTGTTGTAGGTGTTGAGTGCTTTGCCGTCTCACGCAGAGGACCCGAGTTCGATTCCCACGTAGGAAACAACTTTATCGAGTATCTCGACGCTTATTTTCCACTAGGATGTTGTATCCCTCCCTGCACGAGTTTCCTAACAGACATGGTCGAATCCCACTACGTCCTAAATTATCTAAATTGTGCCGATGGAGCCGTATAAACATATAGAGAAATCTACATTTAAATACTAATGTATAACAATGTGAAATCATTCACATCACGGGTATGCCGGCGGGTCGGTGGAGGGCGCCAGTGGAAGGTCCTACTTCACTACTTTCCCTCTGGTGTTCCTGTCTGTTTGTCTGTCTTACTTTTACCCCAGTACTAAATGGCCAATATTGTGCCGATGTGCTTCTCTTTACTCAAACAAAACAAATAAACAAACAGAAAAACAAACAAACGGGTTGGGCGTGACAGATGAACCAGGAGTAGGCCAGTCGTATTATTACCTAGATTGTGACACTGAAGATGTAAAACATTGAATGATCATTTTGAAGAAACAATAATCCAGTTGCGAGGTCAGGAAAAGCCAATAAACGGTTTACGTTTCTTAAATCTCAACAGTGGACTTGTTTCTTATTGTGGGAATTCTTATTTCAGTGTACCTTATCGTTATTTTAAAAAAAAATTACAATGACAAGAGCAGCCTTTTTTTATCTTATGATGAGAAACTCACTCTAGCCACCCACACATACTCACATGGAGTGACATAATATGAACATACTCAGGCAAACGCGCTCACCCACTCCCCACCCATCCCCTTCACCCATCCCCCCCCCCTCTCTCTCTCTCTCTCTCTCTCTCTCTCTCTCTCTCCATCTCTCTCTCTCTCTCTCTCTCTCTCTCTCTCTCTATCTATATATATATATATATATATATATATATATATATATCTCTCTTTCTCCCTCTCTCACCCTTATCTATCTATCTATCTATCTATCTATCTATCTATCTATCTATCTATCTATCTATCTATCTATCTATCTATCTATCTATCTATCTATCTATCTATCTATCTATCTATTTCTCTCTTCCCTTCTTTGTCAGTGTTTTTCTCTCTTTCTCAACCCTGGTCTTACTTCCCTTTTCCTCTCTTACATTCGCTCTATCACCTTTTATCTCTCTTCTCCATTTCTTCCCTTTCTCTCTCTGACCCCCCGCCCCCTTTCTTCTTCTTATTCTCTTATGTTGCTCTCGTCTGCCCCCTTTATCTCACTCTATCTCCCTACTCTCTCGGTCTCCCTGTGTCTGACCGATTCTGTCTGTCTCTTCCCTCCCCCCCCCCCGTCTCTTTCTCTCTCTCTCTCTCTCTCTCTCTCTCTCTCTCTCTCTCTCTCTCTCTCTCTCTCTCTCTCTCTCTCTCTCTCTCTCTCTCTCACTCTCCCCCCCCCTCTCTCCTTCAGATGAAAATAATATGATACATTTTCTCTCTTTCCAGAAACGTACCAACCATGCATAAACTGTGCCTGCTATCTCTCCTTCTTGCAGCTGTTGCAGTATCTTCAGGTAAGATTAGGTTGAACGGTTATTCACTTGCTGCATTTTCTATAACTATTTTTTTTTAGTTTTAGGAGTAGTCATACAGTCAATGACATAGTAAGATTCAAACCATTTCGCCCCGGGAGATATTATATCATCATGAAAAGTTGTATCACTTGGAATATGCAGTGCCACTCACAGCAGGTTGAGCATATCATATGTGAGGCAACGCGGTGGAATCAGGCTCTCGTCAAAATAAACAAAATGAAGAAATTTGCATTTTTCCGGAAGTTTGTGAATTTTTATCAAATTTTTGTTTTTTGGCTCATCACCTTTTCTGCCAATTAAAGAATTCATTTCTGTGTGGATTTTTCTGAAAAAAAGTTGATTAAAGGGACAAAAAATGTAAATTTTCAGTTACCACGGACTCTTAAGCTAAGGAAATAACTAATCTTTGGCGGCCATTTTCTCACTAATTCTACCTCTGAAAACAGGTGACCCCACCTCCTTCTTTCGCAAAAATCTCGACCTGTATTCAAGGTAAATGGATATTTTTTCATCCAAATAAAGGCAAGTGAACAAGCTTTAAGGTGATACCAATACTTCTACATGCCCAAAAATTGACGAGAGCCTGATTCCACCACGCTGCCTCACAAATCGAATTGGGAGTGTCTCTTCAGCTTTGAAGTTGGGTGCTGTTTTGGGCGTTTCGTGTCTGTTATATGCATTGTGTTGCTTTAGGCGTGTCCTTCAGATTTGAAAGTGCTGTTTCGGTTTAATTGTGTCGTTTCGGTCTGAGTACGTCGTGTCGTGTTATTTGAGAATGTCGTATCAGTTTGCCTGTGCCGTGTCAGTTTGGGTACGTCGTGTCGTATTAATTTGAGAATGTCGTATCAGTTTGCATGTGACGTGTCGGTTTGAGTGTGCCCTGTCGGCTCCTTTATGACGTTTGGGTTCAAATGTGTCAGGTCTGCTTGAGTCTTTCGTTTCGGGTTTAGAAAATCATTTCGTGTAAAGTACAAAGGAATCTGTCCAATACGACCACCCTTTGTGAAGAAAAAAAAGTGGTCAGGTGGCTCTCGTGGTCTAGAGGTTATCGTGTTCTCCTCTCATTCAATAGGTGCCCGGTTCGAATCCGGACAAAGATAGAAACTTTTCTCCTCTAAAATGTTCTCCTTTCACCTCCTTTCCTGCTCTCTAACAATGTTTTGTCTGCTTTCGTCTCCACTATTTGCGCCCACCCCCCACCCTTTGCCCCATCATCTGGGCTCCTGACTCTCTCTCTCTCTCTCTCTCTCTCTCTCTCTCTCTCTCTCTCTCTCTCTGTTTCTGTCTCTGTCTCTGTCCCTGTCTCTCTCTCTCTCTCTCTCTCTCTGTCTCTCTCTCTCTCTCTCTCTCTCTCTCTCTCTCTCTCTCTCTCTCTCTGCAGCCTTCCCACTGCTACTCATTGGCTCCTTCTTACTGCTGTCTTCCAGCAACACCCCTGATTTTATACTAGGTATGATCTAACACCTAGCTTTCTCAGATCAGGGCAAAAAATGTTGGAGGTCCCATGTACAAGTTGCGCACGTCAAGGATCCCTCGGCGGTCCAAAATAGATAAGAGTAGGCTTCAGCCCCCACCCAGGCGAAAATTCAAAATTTCTTCCACACTGAAAATGTCTACTGTGTACCCCGCGCTAATGTGGCCTTATGCAGTTGCGAACACCGTACAACACAAAAAAGTTGTTACCTTGACCCGCGTAATTAGAATATTAGAAGAGAAAAAAACTCCAGGTAGGAAGTAGGAAGTAGACGTTTCTAAAGGTGATTGTCTTGTAAAGGTGAGCCTTCGAGCAGGTTCGGCTTAACACTATGTAGATTACAGTCACCACATTATCCAGCTTAAGCCCTAGAAATGGATGCGTGACTGACACCCAGAAAAGTAAAGAACTATTCTCTGACTGACTTGACATGACACGACATGACATGACACGACACAAGCCCAGCGTTACGATTTATTCGGCCTCGGCTGTCGTATACGAAAACGCCGTCGTGTCATCCGACCAGCATCGATAAGACAAAGAAGCTGTACGCAAATCCCTACCATTCTTCAACGTCCTCCTGGCCAAGGAAGAGATTGCCGAGGGAACCTGTCATGACGTGACCCTGTAAGATGATGGACCATGATCGAAAGAAGAAATATATCTGACATGCTAAGCCATGAATTCTTGGAGGCAATACGTTGTCACAAAATGAAAGACACGTGATAGGCAGCAGTCGATAAATGTGTGTCAGTGTGTCTACTAATGGTTTCGTCAACTATTGCATAATTTTTAATCTTTACATATAAAGCGAAAGATTTATAAATGATTTATATTCGTAGTTGTAGGTGTTTTACGGCCACATCGACACAATTTAGATGATTTCATTTTGCTGTCGAGATGCTCCCACTATGCCTGCCAAGGCCAACCAACCACTCACACACAAAAAGACATTCATACACTTACACTTGCACACGCACACACACACACTCGCACACACACACACACACACACACACACACACACACACACACACACACACACACACACACACACACACACATATATATACACACACATACGCACACACATACACATAAACATACACACACACACACGCATACAAACACACATATTGTCTGATCCAACCGCCCTTTTTTTCAATTACGTCAGTGCAGTCGATTCATCACCATCATTTATGCTGTGGAGACTGAAAAGAAAGAGGACGAAATAAATATCATGAAAAAGAGAAAGAAAGAGAGAGAGAGAGAGAGAGAGAGAGAGAGAGAGAGAGAGAGAGAGAGAGGGGGGGGGAGATAATGAGAGAGAGAGAGAAAGACAATTAGATTATACATAAGCACTCATACACACACACTCACACAAACACACACACACACACACACACACACACACACACACACACACACACACACACACACACACATCCACACACTTACAAACATAGACACACAATAACACAGACACGCACACAGACACACACAAAAAATACACGCACAAAACACACACTCAGAGAGCTATAAAATTATAATCTGTCAAATGCAATCTGTTACTATTATTATTATCATAATTATTATTACTATTATTACTGTTATTATTATTGATATTATTAATATCATTATTACTATTTTCATAATTATTATCGTTATTATTAGTAGTATTGTTGCCGTTTTTGTTTTTGTTGTTGTTGTGATTATCATTATCATTATTATTGTGATCTAAAAGCTGATTCTGAAACAATTCTCCATTTTCTCTTTCGGTGTTGCAGCACAGAAGATTCGCCTGTTCTCCCCCACCAGTAAGTATCTTTTGCTTAATTTTGGCGAAAGAGTTTTACGGCTCTTGCAACACAACTATATGTCACATAAGTGTCCAAGATTAGAGGTATTACCACAAAATAACACACGAAGAAAAGAAGCAGAGGTAAGGAAGACAGAAGATAGATAAAAAAAAAAGCAGGCAGAGCAAACCACAGCAGTGTCCACTCACCACACAAAGTTGGTCTATCTTTTTTATATCGCTCCAGAAAAAGAAAAGGAAAGAAGGTGGAGTCGGTGGTGTAGTGGTTAGGCTACCAGACCCGTAATCGTGACATTGCGGGTTCGGGAGTTCGAGCCTCAGCTCGGTTCGACGTTGTGTCCTTGGGAAAGACACTTTAAACGAAAGTCTGATTATTTTGGCTCCGTTCTTTCGGAGATGGACCCTACACTCGGAGGTCCTGCCTCTTAAATAACCTCCTACTGTTGATAGGGACATTAAACCCATACCATTTCAACATTTTTTTTTTCAAAAGGAAATAAAATACAACGACGTAGTAAGCCAGCTGTAGAGAAATAATATACACGTCGCCATATGTGAAACAGTGTGGTGGAATCAGGCTCTCGTCACAATAATCAAAGTGAAGAAACTGGCATTTTTCCGCAGGTTTGTGAATTTTTATCAAATTTTTGTTTTTTTGTTCAACACCATGCCCATTAAAGAACTCATTTCTGTGTGGATTTTTCTGAAAATTTTTGATTAAAGGCACACAAAAAATGTAAATTTTCAGTTACAACGGACTCTTAAGCTAAGGAAATAACTTATCTTTGGCGGCCATTTCTCACTAATTTTACCTCTGAAAACAGGTGACCCCCACCTCCTTCATTCGCAAATATCTTGACTTGTATTCAAGATAAATATATATTTTTTCAATCCAAGTAAAGACAAGTTAACAAGCTTTAAGATGACACCAATAACTCAACATGCCCAAAAATTGACGAGAGCCTGATTCCACCACACTGCCTCACATATTGAATATCTGGTGTTTACGAGTAAACATCCCACCCAGGATAACACTGGGGGGGGGGGGGTCTCAGCTACCTGCTAGAGGTTTATTAATGCGTACTGGACACTTACGTATAATTTTAGTTTCATTCGAATAGAAATGGTGGACAGATATTTTTTTATTTCGCTTTAAACTACCTTTTTATAATATTTTTTACAGGGGGGGGGGGACGAGCCCACTAACTCGCTAAGAGCTTGCCTGTCTGGGGCTAGAATGATAGAGCGCCTGCACAAAAGTGTCAGTTTTTTCGCTGAATTGAGTAATTGAAACGAAAATGGGCTTAACGATAAGGATTTCCAAGAAGCACACAGCAATGTTCAACACCCTCCCCCCCC